ATATTCTAAGCTTTCGAGTAGGTACCCACTAATGTTTTAAATAAACTGCAACAAAATAACTGATATTGATATTCTTTGTTTAAGTATCTAATTTTGTCTATATTTTAACTTTAAATGCTTACACAAAAAAATCGTTCTTAATACGTATCTTCAATATTTTTAACTGCTTAACAACTTAATATGAGGAACATTGTATTAACATTTCAAACTTTTTGACAAAGAGAAAACATTTTTATTGGCATGCATTTCTAGAATATAAACTAAAAAAATGTTCAGTTTAAAATGTGTATACATGGTTCAAAAAGAGTCAAAATATAAAACATTTTAAAAATAAATTCAAATATACTCAGTTCAATACAATCATTTACGTTAACAGCACAATTGGCACATAAAATCCAAACAGACAGTGGCACCTAATAAAAACATACATGAGCGATAACTCATTGCTTAATTTTTACTGGTTTTGTACCTACTAATAGCTTTTACTAACTTTATTTGTATATTCTAGGATGTATCCATGTAAGTACACAATGTGTTTAGCAAAACCCCGAATTAAAATAACGATTTTCAGCTTTTACTAAGACAAACAGTAAATACTGCTAGCATTAACTAGTAAAATCTAGTTTAACCAGCTCTTACCTAGTGATAGAACTTTTACGATAACATAGGTAATATAAACAATAAATTGAATACAAATAAAATTGTTCGTAAATAATTAATAACTGTAATATGTAATATCAATATATATATACCATATGCTAAAATAATACTATCATCGTGTATAACATATTTTTTTAAATTAATTTCATATCTGCAAATGTCAACTACAGTGTTGTGATTATTATTTTTTTTTCCATTTGATCTTAAGCCCGGCGACTATGACCATTAGCTGTTATTGGTTTTGTAGGTTTTTATGTTGGTAGGGGGAGGAACATGTGTGTGTTTTTGTTTGGCAGAATTTTTGACTGGGCACTCGTAGGTATTTACCATGCCCGGGTGGGGGATAGCGGCACTTGTTCTCCGGACACCGTGACTTGCCCGAAGAAAAATGCCGCCCGTGACCGAGGTATCGAGCCAGCATCGGCTGCATCACAGCCGACGCCTTAGACCACTCGGCCACCCTTCCCCGATTATTCTTTATTTAGTGAGAAGTGTGGATCAGGGATTTAACTATGTGTATATTAGGACAGTTTCACACGACTCATGTACTTGGCAAACCTCGTAATCGTGATGCTCACAAAGTATTTTGATTTAAATATTATTTTTGTTCATATTTTCATGGTCGTTTTGGTCAAACAAACGACCCAGAAACCACAAAATATTACCAATAACGAACAATGCTATTTAGTATTTATACAATAAAATGTATTTATTATATTAATATGATGGCAATATTTTGTGTTAAAAACCTGTATTAGGCATGTAAGGTAGGTATACCTATAATATGAATTAAAAATGTGTTTATAGTTCATACTATCTAAATACTATAAATTAATGTAAAATAATTAATTTTTAGAATTTTTCAGATTTGATAGAAAAATTGATTTTAATAATTCAAAAATTCTGCTTATACAATAATGGTACCAAACAATCACTCAAGTCAATTATTTTGAGTAGAAATTGTATAGTAAATTAAATATGTTTCAGTAGCTTGTCATAATTTTTAGTCAGCTATTACTTATCATAGGTAAGTACTATAACAGTCAACTTCTATAATACAATAATACGTTATTCTTAATCTATTGTCTATAGAATATTGTTGTATGAACTGTAAATCATTATCGTGTGTAAATCGTAAATAATATGCTTAGTTAAATCACGTTTTCCATATTTTCTTTCTTTAAAATAAAAACTAATAAAGGTTTCAATTATGTACCTACAATTATTTTGAATTTAGATATTCTTTGATCTATATATAATATATATTGTAGTCTGTTGATCATAATATTAATCACAGTCCAATAGTTCATTATAATTTATAATGGACATCTTCGTCATTTACTATAGTTTATTGACCATCTTATATCACTAATTATGGCTCTATTTAATCAAATGCGATTCCTTAAAAATTGATTAAATACCCAAGTAAAACTTTGTACTTCCGGCTGCATATTGTTTACTATGTACCTATATATTTACGTATTGTTCTCAATCTTTTAACAATATTTGTATTTTATAAGACTGAAAGTAAAAACATAATGAAATGATATGTCGTTTATAAATATATAATAACATACAATTAAAAAATAAATAATAAAATGTTCTATACTTCTATCAATTGATAATTAAAAATAAAGTAAACAAGTATCTACACACTTTGATGTAAGTACAAGGTACAAGGTTGGTTCCTCATAAGTTCTTATTATTGGAAATAAAAAAGTAGAACGTTAATCTACATTTATTTTTTATGAACTATTTTGAATTTAAAATGTTGTGAAAATTGCTAAAATGTACAAATTATTCTAAAATAAAAATATTTATTCCGAAAATTTAAAAATTGAATACAAGGTTCTTCATAAGTTGTTCGATATTATTGGAATTATAAAAAAAACTCCGTGTAATACCTACCTCCAATATTTTTTTATAGGTGTCTGAAGTAGTGAAGTTTGATACTCACGAGGAAAATAACGATTTCTAGTCAAATCAATATAATATAGTAAATAACTGTAGATTGCAATTTTGACTAAATGTTTATATTATATTAATATACGCATGTGTATAATTTTCAAAATATTTTGAACCACGACTGATGGACCGACATAATATATGGAGATATAAGGTATTCTAAACTTTTTTTTAGAAATCTAAAAAGGATATCTATTTAGTTAGACACTGGTTTTGTGTATATACATTATACATTATACATTTTTTCAGTTTTAATTTTTTTTGTTTTTTTTTTTATTTTTCCAGGTTATTTTGAAGTGCACTGGAATTATTCACGTTTTACTCCCCAAAGTAGATCGAATTGCCTACCAATTATTATAGTTGATAATTATTTATTATAACATGAATCATACATTTTGCCTACATTGAATGTTTTTTTTATATTATATCAGATAAATCAAATTGATTCACTGGTGGTTATCTTATGGTCCGTGTGTTGCTTCAGTAAAACATAATATAATGATATAACATGTTGGGTGGTTAGTAATTAATTATTATACAATTACACACTGTAAAGTGTAACATAATTAAAATTAAAATGTTATACTTTTTAATGAGTTTCAATGGCGTTCGCCCTAATCATGTACTGTCTTTTTAACGTTATTTTTTATTATAATTTTTAGCTAAACAAAATGGTAATATCATTTTTTAAAATTATTTATAAATTAACGTAACTTGGACTTGATTAAAAGTAACTGGTTATTTATTAAGTTTATATCAATAAAAATCAGATACATTTAAAAATAAAGTAAATTAAAATTGAATAAAAAAGTTAAAATTGACTGAACTTTAACTTCTTAACTCGTTTATGCCCAGTATTGAAAAAATGTATATAGCTCAACGCAACATTTTTTTTGTATTAAGTTTTGATGCATTTTCACTCGTTAAAACAATTGTATCATAATAATATATTGTAATATTGTATCATATTATATAATATAAATTATAAGATATAAAAAGGGGCAAGAATAGGTAACCACTCTGGCTCTGCTGTACAGTTACTGTATAATGTGTATTAAGTGTCGAATGTAGATCGTCATTGAGTAGGGAACTATAAAAGTTGTGTTTTAAATTTGAATTCAATGGTTTATAATTCAACACAAAAAAACGGTCTGTGTAGGTCTATCAACCTATTTTACTATATATATTTTAATATATATCTATAATTATTGCTAGTACTTATAGTAGTTGATTTTTCTATATTATGTACCTACAGTAGGTTGAATTAATTTTTGTCTAAAACAATGCATTTTTTATTATATTTAATATTTTATTATAATATTGGTATAGTATATTTTATCATAAATTGTTGTAATTAATTTTAGAGTTATTACGAAAATACCAACTACCAACTTGACGTACAACGGTGTGAATTGGTTTGTAATATACCTATAAATAGACAATAGCTTAAAACTAAATCTAAATGTTATATAAAATGTCATTGTGCATATAAAACTATATGTAAAAGATTTTAATCACCACCAATAATATTTTTTAATTAAAACAAAATAGGTAACAATAATTATTATATCATAGTTATTGTTCGAATACATTTTAACTTCAAGCATCTATACAAATAATCGTGCCTATGTATGCTTAATATTTTTAACTAAATATAAAAACAACTTTCGTGGATCTTGTACTACATTTTGAAGCTTTTTTAAACAGCTTAAAATGTTTTATCAACATTCAACACTATAAAAATACAAAATATATACATTAAAAAATTAAAAATTTCAAGTTTTAAATGCTTAAAATTAATTTAAAATTTGACTAAATTACTGCTTAAAGGTACATTTTCCCTGCAGCGTCTGGACGCAGCGTCTAGTGTCACTACAGGTTCGGACATAGGTTCGCGTCTGGCGTCCACCGTTAGACGCTGCAGGGAAACCGTACCTTTACCAATTTGGTAAGTGTGGTGTCGGTGTGTGAGTGATGTAAAACATATTTCCCTAACGACATAGGTACACGTCGAAATGATTACGAGGAAGGTTCAAACGGAAATAATGAGACTGAGGGTTTGACTTTTGACATATTATAAACGGTCAGATCTACTTATTAAAAACGAGTGCACTCGGCGAGCGGTTTATCGGACGTGCTGTTCGTTAGAGCGCTCTACAGACTAGAGAACGAGGGCACCTCATGACAACTATTTCATGCCCTTGGTAGAACGAGTCATTGGCACGCGGGGTAAGGCAATGAATATATTATTACTATTTTAATCTGGGCTTGGCGAACGCTAAAAAACATAACAATACTTCTCAGATGTCACAAACAAAATAATGCAAAAAACGAATACAATATAAAATAATTTAATCATAATTCGTGTTGCAAATATGGTGACGTTGAAAATAGTAAGTGGTAATAAGTGTTCAATGGACCCTAGAAGCGTTGAAGTTAATTTTTCGTTCAGCGTTAGGTCGACACACTTATTTGTTTATGACATTCCCGAGGAATTACATGGTATTGGTCGCGAAAATGCACTTTGCCGGATTGATGGCAATACCATATTTTTGATATCGATCGAGTATCATGAGAACGTTCTTTTCGTGTCCGCCCTCGTTGCGATATCGTTCAAAACGTCATAGGTGGTATCTAAGTCCAGTTCGGGTACCTAGTATGCCGTTTATTACTTATTTTGTTATTGAAATGTTTGTGTAGAATAAACCACATGACAGGGAATTTGAACAGGCCGAAACGTGACGTCAATCCGGTCTTTTGGTGTGATTGAGACCTGTAAATACGATTGAACGAGGTCTAATTTAGTAAAGACGATCTGGAGCGGTGCGCGTTTTAAGGAGTAATATGTAGGCAATTCATATGACATGAACATTTGGGCTGTGTCAATGTGTGAGAACTCACACACTCAGACACTGCAAAATATGTGTAATTTATCACAACTTATTATAAAATGTATGGAAAATATGTGTTCTGCTTTAAACCTTCAACAGTTTTTATAATCAGTCATCCACATTGCGCCGTCCCAGTTTGATGAAAATACTTATTATTATTAAGATTTTTAATACAAATGTTACATTTTACACGGGTTAAAATAAAACAGCTTTAGTCTCACACTTCAAAGTTCGTTGAAATTTAAAAATGTTCATCACTCGCTAAAAACCTTGGTTGTAATAATATTATATAGTATCTAATGAGTGATTAATAAATTAGCATTTTTCCTAGGTAACAGTATTAATGATTAATCAGCAATAAAAAGTAGTATAATAATGCACACAAAATGCTGACGTGCGAACAGAACCGTGCTCTGGTCATCAACACAGTAATTAATATAAAGTTCATGTAATAATATCTTATTATTGTTTCTAAAAATTATATGGCAACTGTCCTTCAAAGTCATGGTCAATATTTTACACGATATAGGTCAGTGGTAGATACACTTAACAGAAATAATGCTAGTACGAGACACTTAACCTCGAGGTCGTGGGTTCGAGCCCCCCACGTTTTGTGCCACTTTGTAATGACTTAAAAATACGAATAAATATAAGAACGACTTCTGTCGATAATTATATTAAAATCGTAAAACTAGGCTATTACCTCCCACCAGGTGTTCGGAGGGCTCTCGAGATCGTGTAATCGAGAATTAAATCAAATACACCTTACAATATACTTGTATGTAAAAACAAAAGCACATATAAAGTAATAAATGCAATCAATATAAAATATTATATTAATTGCTTTACCTGATTCGCAGTTGTTTGTATATTATCCTGTAAGAGTTTTAGGTTTTAGTTGACACAGAGTAGTACTTCAAAATGCACAGATCGAAATAATGAACACACTAATTATTGCTCACACAAGGAGTCCAGATTGTCGCTCGTTGAAATCGGTCTTTGGAATTGGGAGGTCTTTACTCGGTGACTGGTGCTCATGCGCTGGTTTGAGGGGCGACGCGAATATGCTGACCAGAGAGTGGTAGGCAGCTTTATCAAAAGGTTATTGTGAGCTTGAGAACTAGATTATTCTTTGATGGCAGTACCCTTTTTTGCCTTTCCTTTTCTCTGGCGGCGTCATATAATAAAGTCACACACAATACGTTTTACCGTTATAAGTGCGTGCCGATATTTTAATCCATATACAGATCATACGGATAGTCTCTTTTTTTTCGTTGTTAATTGATTATTTTATTTGATGAGACCGATATCTACAAACGACAGTCTGGCTTTTACTTATTATTCTGTAAGATTTTAGTTTATTATAATGGCGTGTGAGCATATAATTACAACACATTTTAGTATTTTACCAATAACAATAACTATTGTATAATATAACAGAAGAAACTACGTGAATTGCAATTAATATTATGTATATAATTTGTATTTTATAAATTCAATAAAATATAATATGAGATTGAGTGTTCTGGGAGTTTGGTGGACAGTCTGATGTTTGTGAATAATAATTACAGAGGTTATAGAATCATATCTAATCTATATTATAAATTACAATATTATGATATTAATCTGGCTATAGTCAATTTGCACCAAAATTGAACCAAAATGTACACAATATGTGTAATTTTTACCAGTAGTTGGTCATTATACTTATTCAGCGTTCCACTATCCCCTTAGTGGTGAATGATTATAGCCATAGTCCTTATAATCATAGACCAACTCTATGAACTAAATTGTATCTATGACAAAATGCGATGGTGGTGGTATAAAGTATAACCTATAAACATATTATATTATGAATATAATATAAAATATTACACATGACTGCATTTGAAAATCGGTCACTCAGTCACTGAATCGCGCACTCTAACTCGGCTCACGACGCATAATATTATTATTATAGGCAGGACCGGTCTATTAGTATGTATTAAACATAATATAGTTAGTAACACTAATGCCTAATAGAAAAATAAATTACTTTAATAGTAATAATACCATAAAATAATCTTAATATGGGCTGACAGACCGTCTTCGCTCGGAATCGTTATTCGTGTTCAATGATTTTAAATAATTGAATTCAAGTTTAACACAATATCCATTACAGTGACTCCTCAAGACACCTACCTAACTGCATTTATTAATTGTAATATTATGAATAATTAAATATTCATATTTCATATAATGAACTAATTACTAATGTCTAATACAGATCAATAGATAATATATTATATTATCATTTAGATTTTTTGTTAATTTTTGTTATTATTAGAAAGAATTAGACTTAACAAGTAGGTATACAACATTAGTACCCAATACAAATCGTATTTACTAATGTGTATTAGTAACAAATAACAATAATGGCTTTAAGATTTTGCTATTTTACCATTTTTACCACCTTATTGGTAAATTTACCTTAAAATTTACCAATCTATTTTTTTTACGTAAATTCTCCATCTCTACATGTAAGTATGTAATATTGTGAACATGAAAAAATGTTTATTTTTCACTCAAACATACGATTCTAATTCCAACGTAATTCCAATACGTCTTAACGGTTACCTCTATTTGCATTCTGACAAAATATACTTTTATTCCACATCATGCACGAGGGATCGATCGAGGCACATTTTTAAAATTGTATTTAGTTAAGTTCAGTTAAGTAGATGACGATTTTATTCTTAGTTGCATCTATCTTATGGTGGCTTTCGAAACATTTGTCCACTGATAAGGTAATTGATACCAGTAAAGTATATCTTAGTAAGTGACAGTGGCGGCTCGTGGTAGTTTCATATGGTAGTGCGATAAATTTGTAAATAAAATAAAGATCTCAATTAATAATAATCAATATTTTGTGAATAATATTCCTAATATCACTAATATGGATAACAAGTACCTACTTCACAATCATTGCTATTGGTCGGTAATCGGTATTTCTTTAGCTATAATTAGACGTAAATATCGAACTCTGCGCGCTGTAAATACAAAATCGCAGGTCACCGCCGTAAATGTACGACGATAATTATCGCACAGTAATATAGTATAATCTCGACCACAGTCGCAGTCGTAGAGTTCCACAAATTGTGCTTATGCCCATAGATACTATAGCATACAGGTCGCCGCCGGATATGTGCTACGAAAATTACCGCACCAAAATAATATTATAGTCCCGCCGCTGCCGTCGCGGCACATCTCAATATAATCATAATTTGATAATATAACCCGTATAACACACATATTTTCTGTGCGCCTCGGGCCGCCGCACCATATAGTATCTACACAGTATACACGAAAGTACGAGTCTCATGTTACAGACGTTGGTTGCTCGGCTTTCGTTTAATATTTAGATTATTTCTTATTGCAATGGAATAATTGCCAGTTTAAGATGATATTTTTCTTCAAATATTATTATTTTACAATACAATTTGGAATCATTTAAATTATTTCGTAAGAAATATAGACCATCATGATTCCTATTTAATTAGTATAATTGCGAATATAATTTTATTTTAAAATGTGCATAGAGAGTGCGGTCGCACTATCGTACCTTAGCACGAGCCGCCACTGGTAAGTGATTAATAGTCAATATATTATTACGAACACAGCAGGTAAATAATCTGATTGTGTATTTTATACGAGATGTGGGATGAGCTGTGAACATCAAGTTTACTTTTTATATTATATCATATAAAAATATCAGCACCTGAATACGTGATACTGTATTTAATGACAACCAAAACTATTAAACAAATCGTTGATATTGATATAATCTATAACTGAGCATGTTTTAAATTGACAGTTACTGTTACTAAATTTCATCCAAGTTTGCTCTTTCTTAAAACAATAACCTAATACACGTATACATTTATGTATTAATAACTTAATATCTTAATTTTATTGCTTACCACAAGTTATGGGTATTGAAAGTTTATGAGTTTGTCACTTTGGCGTTGTCAACGACTGAAATATATGTCAAATACCTCTAGTTAATTTTCTTTTAAACTAGCCAATCGATACATACTTTTTTACTTACACCAAACTAATAACATTATCAAAAATTAAAAAAAAGGTTTTTCTTTTAGGTTATAATAATATTCTTAGTTATATTTTCTTTATGCGATGCAAAAAAAAATTCAAAAATAAAATAATGTTAACACGGCGCATTAGATAGGCAATTCAAGTACACCATAAGACGGTATGCACGGAATAGCGTGGCTAAAATAGTAAAAACTTAGGTATGACAGCAAATCTGTTATACGTCATGACGTTATCCGACATAACTGTTATCACTACTTACTATCAGTACTATTACAAATTTGTAATTGCATTGCCATTTTGTTAATTTATTTCAACATTTCAAATTATGTTTTTAATTTTAAGTTAAGAACATTTTTGTATACTATAAGATGTATTTTTGCAGTTTTGATACTCATTAATTATGATATAAGCTTTTTAATTTTATTTCTTTTATCTTAAATTATTTTATCCATCACCAATTTAAAATATTAGATTTTCTTAATGTTGATGAAGAAATTCATTGAACCAAACAAATTTCATCAGTAAGTAATAAGTATTATATATTTAATAATATTATATATAATCATACTGGATTTTTTTCCTATTAAATACTAACGTAAGCTACAAAAAAAAATTGGAACAAATAATTGTTTAACTATAGAGAT